TTGCCAAGTATATAAGTCAAAAGTGTTAAATATATATCGCTTTCATTCATTTCTTTATAGAGTTGGTGCTTCTTTTGTAGGAAAATTCATACGGCTTATGGCGCATTTACATGGTATGAAGCCATATGAACTGTTGATACGCTAAAATAGAGGGACTACATGTTCTAATGAGGAATTCAATGAGAACGAGTGGGATGCATATAATAAATTTTTTCATATGAAAAGTTATGGGGAGATACTGTAAACATACTGTTGTGATACTGTTAAGCATATGAAATTATAGCAAGTTGAATTTTCATACATCTTCCCATAAAAAGTTTAACAGATGCAGAGATACCAAGGGGGGTTTTTCCCATTTTGATGCCTTTTTAATATAAAAACCCACCGAAAAGGAGGAAAGCGGCAACTCCGCCATTCACATTCATGTCAAAAGTTTGAATTTTAAAAATTAAAAACAATAAACAAACAAATTCAAAACAAAGAAATTCTTTGTACTAGAATTTTTTAAATTGAAGCCACTCACGTTTAGTGGACAATAAAAATACGAAGAACTGTGATAACAAACTTACAACAAGACATTACAGAACATTTTAATGAGCTTTATATCACGTTTCAGTAAAAATAAGCCTATATTTTCCAAGCTGGCAAAGAAATGAAAATTTGTATTTTTGGTTGTTTACACAAAGACTTGCCAAATATACATATAATTCAAAATTATAGAAGGCATGTATACTTCTCCCTTTCATTTTTTCATACAGTTTATGCTTCTTTCTGGCTTTTACAAAAATGCAGGGATACCGCACTTATTTCGGTACAATATGATCGTAATGTAGTTTCAATTCGAAATCAAACAAAAACATCCCACGAAAATGTTTGCGATTTTAGAACCATTAGTGAATATTTGCAAACTACTGCAAATAATAGAGTGCCATATCTTACAAAGTTCAGAGTATTAACGAAACAAACCAGCATTTTATGGCTTCATGTTTCCTTCAAACCGCATTGCTATTTTTTCGAACTTTTCCTTTTGTTTAGCGCTGTAACCTATTAAGTTATATCTTTCAATTTATACATGTGAACTATTTTCAATGAGCATTTTTTCATTTGCTCCAGAATTTTGGGTACATTTTCTTATAGTACCTCTCATTCTTTTTTATATTACATATATACACTCCGGTCGGCCGCTGTGGTGTAGTGGTAAGCAGTGCGCGCTTTCACACATCCGCACCTGGGTTCAAGCCCTGGTCAAAGCAACATCCCAAAAAATATAGAAAACGGTTTTTTCTAAACAGCGGTCGTCCCTCGGCAGGCAATGGCAAACCTCCGAGTGTATTTCTGCCATGAAAAAACAGCTTCTCATAAAAATACAATCGCCGTTCGGAGTAGGCGTAAAACTGTAGGTCCCTCCGCTTTGTGTGACAACATCAAGGCGCACGCCACAAGTCGGAGGAGAAGCTCGGTCAAACACTAACATATGTGTAAGCGCCAATCTATTATATTATATACACTCCGAAGTTCGGGATAGTATTTTGAATATACCAGCAATATATGTAAAAGTAGTGGCGGCTGCTGTAGAGCATTACGCAGAGCATGAGTTCAAGCCCAGTTTTTCTAATAGTGATTGCCCCTCTGTTGGTAATAGTAAACCTCCGAGTGTATTCTGTCATGGAAACAACTTCTCATTAAAATACAATTGCCGTTCAGAGTCGGCGTAAAACTGTCCTTTACTTTGTGTGACAAAATCACGCACGCCGCATATCGGAGGAGAAGCTAGGCCAAACACTAACATATTGTTCAAGCGATATACATATTCGTCGTTTAAAGTACAAAAGCGCGTATCGTGGTTCTGCAAAACCTCGGAAGTGAAATTTGTGCCAAAAAAGATATTTGGTCATCGGAAGCTCCTGACATCAAGCCCTTAGCCATTTATAATAAAATATCGATATAATAAAATATCGACTTAGACATAAGGAGAGAAGATTATTAAGTTTAAAAGAGAGAACCGTTTTAAATTGGGACCAGTTTCACTCTCTCCTATAAAATTTAGGCAACCTCCCATACGAGGTTTTGCATTTCCTTGATGCGCGGTTTTGTGCTTTAAACGAAGATATGTAGAAGTATTGCATACATATTTTGGTGCCTTTTCAAGTATAAAATCCACTGAGAAACGGAAGAAAACGGCATCCCTATAATTTCAAGTTATGCCAAACGTTTCGTAAACAAGCAATTCTGAACAAAAAACCACAAATATGTTTAAATGGAAGCATTACAAATATGGAAAAATAGCAATCCACAAGGCTTTATTGGCAGTAGGTCCTTTTTAAAGCACATTTAACAAAAAATAAGCTTCTAGTTTCGAAGCTAGCACAAAATAAATTTTTTTTATTTGTTGTTTACAAAAAAATATTGTCTAGTATACAAGTCAAAATTGTTAAATATATATCGCTTTAATTCATTTCTTCATAGAGTTGGTGGTTCTTTTATAGGAAAATTCATACGGCTTATAAACAGATTCATACCATGTAAATGCACCATTATGAACAGATTCATACCATGTAAATGCACCATAAGTAACGAAGATATTGGCTGAATTTCTTTATTCATTCTGAACGTTTGGAATAAACTTTTCTGTTTATTTATTCTTTAGAACGTTCCTGATGATATGTTGACGTATATTTCAAACGCATTCTGTTTATTCCGGCTGTGAAATGGGATTATCCGGAATGTATAAAGAAACGCAGCCATTATAATCGTTTGTGCCGCAGAAACAAAAAACAAGTAAGCACTTGTTAACACCCCCAAAATAGTTTGCTACTTGTAGCAGTTATGCTGTATACCTGAATGAAATATAGTGCATACATATGTATGCATATATATATGGATATGTAGACATGGGAAAATTTGCGTAAACAAAGAATAGAGACCGGTTCGTATACAACTGTGGCGTTGCGTTGGCGTCGAATTTCAAAGCAGCCGTCCACATATCCAAAATTTGGCAACGCTAAGGCCAATACAAAGCAGAAAGATTGCTGCGTCGGTCGCCAGCTGTTGCAAATAAATAAAATTAAATGGAATGTTTTTGTTTTTTAATCAAATGAAGGCAAGAAATATAATTTTTCATGCAATTATTGATATGAAATATTAATTTATCTCTCGTTAATATGTTAATTTAGTGGCCAAAGTAGTCTCTGCCAAGCTTCATTGTAGAACGCATACTTTTAACTTGCGTTCTGTCAAACCAACGCCAACTACAAAGTCAACGCGAAAGTTCTATGTGGACCAGCCTTAATTATCAAATAGTAGTTTGTATTATCCTACATACATACATATGTATGGGGGCTAAACCACGAATATTCATTTGAAAATGCTGATGTCCTACTCATTTATGAAATGAAAGACAAAATAATGATTTTTATAAATATTAGGTGCGTTCGTTTAAAATCTCCAACAGAAACCAACCAACTGCCAAATTCCGGCGAAATGTCATCTGTTCGCTCACAAGAGAGAAATATCCAAAATAGTACGCGAACAGAAAATTTGCAGAAACTTGCAAGTTAGACGAACAGCTGATATAATTTTTGTTTACATTCAAAAGTGTAAAATTTAAAACGTACGAAAACTCATTACAAAGTGGCATCCTGGCACAGTTTATTGATTAAACAAATAACTACTTACTTCTTACAAGTTTAATTAGTCGCATTTTGTAATTTTTAACTTCCAAACCATCAAATTCAATTTTGTGATTTGCGTAAATGCCAACCAGCTGTTTTTGATCAGCTGTTTTCCTGTTGGCAAATTGCTGTTGGCAAAAATTTTTCCAACAGAATCCAGTAGCTTCCCCTCAAAATGAAATGTCACTTTGCTCTCTCAATTTCCCCTACTTTGCAAGTTTTTTGCGTACGCGAACGCAAAAACTTGTAAGTTTTGGTTAAACATGAACAATTAACAGCTACGCGAACGAACCTATTATATTCTCATTTATACATATGTTACATAGTTACTTAGTCAAATTACTTAGTAATTACTTGTATGTAAGAATACAAAGACAAATTATTTATCAGAAGCATTGCCCCTTACATATTGAAAAAAAAGTAATAAAAGCTCTCAAAAAAGCAAAATCGCTACAGCAAAAAAAGTGTTTGAAAAACCGCATAAATTCAAATCCGCATAAAAAAACGCATAAAAAGAGACCTAAGTGTTTAAGTTGAAATTTTATAAGAAATTATTGAACATTAAAAACATTATACCTACATAAATATGTATGCACATATGTGCCTTTCTAGTAGATAAAACTGGTCAAAATAGCACGAATCTATTCTTCTGAGCATGAGAATATATACATAAATATGTACTAACATATGTGTATATACATATGTATGTATATACATATCTGCATGCGTGCATACAATCCTTTACTCGAAATTCTTAGACTGCTTTTACACAGTTCAAGTATTGAATTCAATTCTGCTCGCATGTGGAAGAGAGGGGGTGAGAAGAAAAGGGACGAGTACACATGCGTACCGTCAAGTCGTTTCAACTTTCTTGCTTTGCTTTTGGCATATTCGTTGCTTCCCATTTAAAGAACCAAAAACTTGAATTCAACAGAATTGAAACGTGTAAAAGCAAATAGAAAACACAAAAGGGAATGAGCAAGAATTGCTTTCAAGTACTTGAATCGTGTAAATCGGGTGTTAGTTGCTGCAATTTTTATCCCATACATTTTTACCGACCAAACAACGCGTTTGCCTGTCTAATCTGCTTGCCTCATTTGCCTCGCTCGTTTGCTCGCCTCATTTGCCTCGCTCGTTTACTCGCCTCGCTCGTCTGCTGCTGCAAATGAGTGCCTCGCTCGCAACGACGCTTTCGCGAGGGCAGAGCTAATGAGGCCCTCGTTTGCTTGCCGCTCTACTCTTGCGCTGGCCTCGTTTGCTTACTCGCTCGCTGGCTGCTCAGCGCGTGTGCTCGTACTTAACGAGTGCTCGTTTGCAAACAGCCTCGCGTGTTGCTCGTGAGTTGCGCTAGCTCGGAGTAAACTAACGAGCGAGCGAGGGGCTAAAATGAGGTAAATCCGAACCCTGCTCAAGACCGCTGCGAGATACATCGTGCGCTGAATCTTAAATTAAAAATAATTATTTATGACCAAAGTTTTGTGCAACTTAATTTTTACCTTCGGCACACTTTGCTCTTTTCTCACGAATGGTCGACATTTCCAAAGCCTTTTGAACAAAAAGAAAAATATTTAAAATATACTACCCAGCGATTTCCATAATTTCATGCACTGACCTTTCTTTTTTGTGCCTTAGCTTCCTTCACTGTTGCGGCGGATGTATCTGCGTTAATGTTTTTAAATAATTTGTGTTTTGAACTTTTTAACTTAAAAAAAGTAATCCATACCTGAGAGCAATTGTACAAGTGTAGTCATTTCCTCGGCTGTCGCATTCTCAAATCCTTCGTCCTCATCCATTGAATAGCGCTCGTTTTGCATATCAACTTCATTAATGGTTATCTCGCGTATATGAATACAAGTTGTCCTGCTATGTCCATTTGCTTTTGTCATCTATATCATAAGTGAATCAGATAAGTGAAGCTCAAATTTTTTTTAAATAAAAATTCTAACCGTTTTACTCACATATTCGTCTATTTTTCCCCATTCCACAAAATTTTCCGTTTCGTCCAACAGTTGTGAGTAATTTGTTGTCGATATGTCCTGCATAGAATATTCTATTGTGCGACGCCTTTTCCTTTTCGAACGATATGAGGCTGAGCAAGTAGACGGGTGGCTAGGTTTAAAGATTGATCCTTATTTCTGAAATTACATTAACCTTTCATCACACATGTATGTAAATACCTTCGCTTTCTTGTCTGTATTGTGGTCCAATTTCGGCTTTGGGCCACCAGCGCTTCTGATCTATCTATTGTAGGGAGAATATCGAAAATGAGGAACACTTCTTATAATTAAATCCACAGCTTACTCAACAAATCGTTTACTTGCAATTCGTGCACACGTAACGTAGTGTAGCAAAGACCTGATATGGAACGAAAGGATATCGCCTCCAATTGATGCTTATGTGTAAGATCCAGCGTGCGTTGGAGGCCATTACGCGACTGTGTAATGGCTAAACGCAACCTTTCACTTAACATGTTTAGGTGAAAGGACGCCTTTAAAAACAGTTGTGTACTCCATTATGCTTCAACTTATCATGTTTTTCCAACATTTATCGACTCCAATTCATTGATCTTTGGTAAAGTGCCTTTTCTACTAGTTAACCATGATTCCTGAAAATCAGTGAGCATTTTAAACACAAAATTCTATAGATTTTTTCAGCAAATACAAAATGATAGCGGAGATTAGCTATTGTACTTGTTGAAATATGGCGGCCATTAGTAAACGGCATTTCCGGTCTTAACGGCACTTGGCTTTGTTTCGTATACAGAATATGCAGAAATTCTCTTTTTAATTGACATCATAAAAATCAATATTTCATCAATATAATTGATAATAATTATCAAAATCTAGATTTTGAAGTAGATAGCACCGATTTGTTGTCATAACTAAGCGGAAATGCACGAATTATTAAATATTACCAGCTGACTTCCTTTTATACCACTTTGCTCCCTCGTGCTACCCTGTTCTGTTGTCCATTCCACTTTGACCTAACATTAGGGATGTCATCGATGTATTTCTTTGATTCGATGCATCGATATCGTTCGATACATCGATTTGCATAGGATTTTACTGATATTATTGTACATCAATTCAAATTTTTTGGTGAACAATTGAAAAACTTAAATGGCGGTTCAATATTTATTAAAAAAACATCGATGCATCGACTATTTATACATTGAGTGGAAAATTTTCGTTGCATCGACGCAAAACATCGATATTTTCGATGCATCGATGTTGTTCCGATATCCCCACCTCACATCAAACCTCACATTCTAGTAAAACAAATTTAGTTTGTATTCTTTTGTATTTGCGTGTTGTTGCTTTGCTATCGTAGGTTGTTATCATAAAGTGTTTTAAGTTCCGTATACACATTCCTCCTAGAAGTTCTTAGGAAATTTTTACACGATTCTGTCACCAAAGTCATATTAAAACATTTATTTATAATGGTAAGTACGAAACAAATTAAATTAAGCATTATACTACGAAATAAAAGTTGTTATGACTAATACAAATCACGCGTCGTTGTCTGGAGCAACAGAAGTAGAGGTGGTCGTGGCGACGACGACGTCTGCGGAAGGGTGTGGAACATAAAGTGTGTTTGCATTGTTCAACTTTGCGTTCAACATTTGCGTTCAACTCAGCGCAGGGTTGCACGAAAAAAAAGTTGAATGGCTAAAAATATCAAAATATGAAAAAATATCAAAATATTCGCCATAAAAAGGTGTTTGCATTGTTCAACTTTGCATTCAACTTTTGGTTGATTCGCCTTTCAACTAATCGCTTTCAACAAAGTTGGTCGCCAGCCAACATTTAGTCATTCAACTTTTTTTTCGTGCAACCCTGCGTTGAGTTGAACGCAATTGTTGAACGCAAAGTTGAATAATGCAAACACTGCTATAACTGAGCAATTAGTGATTCCAAGGTACATTGAACAGGTAGTATCAGTAGAGCAGCTGATTTGATTTATTTTCAAATTATTTGGTCTCGAAAATGTCAAATATTTTTAATTTTTTCTCACGAAAATTATAAGTTGTTAAAATCCATTTGCTTGTGAAACCTTTTTCCATACAAAACAAGCGATTGAATAGCAGCTTTTGGAACGTTCGCTCAACTCAGCAGCACGCCCGCTGATTACTGGGCCTTGCAAAGGAAAGATCAATGCTTCGAGAAGCAAACAAATTTACTAGGAAAGAAAGTTGCATCAATTTTTATTTTTTCCAATTTCAATTTTTTATTTTTTATAATTTTTTGTATTTCACATGGCACGCTTTGATTTAGAAGAAAAAATTCAGAACAGTTTTTGACACTTTCGATACCAGAAGCAACAACAAAATACACGCAAACGTTGTTTTTGCTCTACTGATACTACCTGTTTAATGTGCCTTGAGTGATTCAACTGTAATTGATAATCACGATTGAGAGAAATAGAGATTGCGCCAATCGCGGTACCGCTAATCCGCTCTTTGTGATTTTGACAGAATGAGCTGTGTGCGTGACGTCATCTTGGTGCAATTGTTGAATGTGAGCATACGAAAAAACCAAATAACAATTTTAATATTTGTGCGTTAATATTTCTGCCTGGTTTTAATCAATTATTGAGACATTAAAAAGCAAAATGAAGTGTGCAGTGCAAAGTGTAATAGTGAAAACAAAAGGAAAGCGTGCTATATAAGTTTTTTTCCGATTCCTACGGACGCAAACCTGCCGAAAAAATGGAAGCAGTTCTACCGGCGAGGACATGCATTAAACACCAAATCGAGCTTTGTGCTATGTGTGTGAGCTATGAACTTTTACACGGAACTCTGTTGGCCTTTCCTTGGTGAATTGTAGTAGGTATATTTCCATGGTGAATGTAGACAGATGCTGGTTTAGTTTGCTGGCAATGACATACATACAAAAGCAGTTTCTACAGTAAATAGTGTGGCGAATACTGCGGCAACACAAAGCGAACAGGAGAAATAGGCAGAATGTTCGAGGAATGACGTAGAATGTTCCACAAAGAGAAACGTCAAGTTGGATGAACACTGCGAACAGCGAGAGAAAGAGAATGAGCGATAAACTTCAGAAAGTTCCAGAGTTGCCATAAGTGCCAGCGCAGGTATATAAGGGCACCGCCACAGCGAGGTGAGTTACGAGTTGCAAGTCAGCAAGCTACCAGTAAAGTTAGTTACAAGTCAGCAAGCTACAAGTAAAGTGAGCAGAGAATTGAGTTGGGAATAAGCAAGCTATAAGTTTAATTGTGTTAACAAGTAGTAAAGCGTTGTTATTGCTTTAACAAGTATTGTAAATTGTTTGTTGTACAATAAAGTTAATTGTACTACAATTCGGTCATCGTTAGCATTTATTTAACAATCCAGCGATACGAGCCCGAGTATATTTGGGTAATCCCTCAAGGTTTCGAGGATAATCGTAACAATAGATACATGAACTTCACTACCTACTCATTTTTGTTAGTACCTGATTCTTTTAGTGCTGGTATGAGTTAATGCACCAGTGGATAAGGTCGCCAGGCGCTAATTCAAGCGGCATCTTACCGCGCTGTTAGGTACCTAATACGAAGCAGTGCCCAAATTATTATACATTTAAAAGTTCAGCTTAAATTATGTTTTACTGACATAGAATATTTGCTTCCAAAAAAGCATGCATCCTCTCGGAAATGGTACAAAAGTCATCAAATAAAAGCTGTGGAGTCAACAGCTTTGGAGTTTATGGTGGTTGGCTACCGTCCACAAATATAAATATGCACTCTGCATGCATGAACCAACGACTACAGATCACGTAATCCGCCATCGTTGTATTTGTAATCGATTTTCAGAAAAAAGTTTTCGTAGCGTTTTTGATGTTTTTTGGTTCTGTTTACATCGTCTTCTACCTCTTCGTAGTGATATTTTAGCGATTTTATGTGTGTTTCTGCAGCGGTTTTAATTAGAAATTTTGATTTATTACAAATTTATGATATAATATGAAGTGCTTTTTGATTGGAACAAGTTTGTGCGTCTGTTGGATTTGTCAAGAGGCGTAAATTTGCGTGAAAAGTGGGTGCACATTTGTGGTCAGAACGTTGGCATTGAAAAATCGGCCGGTGCCGATAATATGCGATTGTAAAACACTCTCAATCATTAAAACCATATTTTATGAACGTTTTTTGCTAATTGTCATCAAGTTTCACTTTTTATATTTAATAATAAATACAAATCTAATCGCACTCAATAACCGCGCCTTTTTCGTTTTCTTTGTTTGTTTTCATTTTTAGGCAGATGTCAAAAACGCTCAGAAATTTACTTTTTTCATTCTTTTCCGATTGCGTGATCTTGTTAGTTGGTTCTTGCTCTGCATGGCTTTTTAAAATGGCAAGTCCAAAAATTCACTTTGCTGCACACTTTGCAAACACTGTTAATAAATCCATTTTTTTCATGTGCTAAAAATCGTCATTATCTAAAGGGCTACATATCCAAAATTATTGCTACGTGTTCCTAATTAATCAATCTTTGTATATTTATTGATTCCTGTAAAATTGGCCCATGTAATATTAAAATTAACACATTTTTCTGCATTGTTTACATATTTTTATATGCGTTTTGGCATTTCTCTCGCAATTGCACAAAGATGACGTCACGCAAAAATTACGCTCAAAAAACCTCTCTCATTGGCGCAATCTTGTATTCTATCATTCTTGATTGATAATAATATTGTTATTGTATGTACCTCAGTATATCCAGTAAACAAACTTAGCTATTTTTTTTTACCAAGTTTGGTCCCCATAAAGGACTAGTGTTGCAAGCAACGCTTTTTAGGCAATTAGGGTGTTGTGCAGCTATTTAATGTGGTGAAAATTATTTAAGCACTGGGGAGATTTATTCACATGGAATTGGAGATTGGGCTAATAGATTTATTTTAAATAAATTGTGAATCTGCAAAAATATCTTTTCAGCAGATGAATATACTTTTTAACCTTTCTCCCGAAAATTTACATACAGGCTCGAAAATATGTGAGTAACATTCAAATATCGTCGCTTGGATGGAAAATTTCCGGAAGCGTCATTTTGACAATTTGTGGTTTTTGGATATCTTCTTTAGTTTCCGAGTAATTGACTAAAATGTTTTCGGTTATTTGGTACATATTGCGTTAGTATTGCTGTCGTACTAAACTAATCAAAATCTTTCAAATAGAGTTATCTGTTCTTTTTTAGTTTCCGACATATTCAGCTTTATCATGAGTTTCATTTTCTAGAACCGGGTCACTTTTTACTTTTCGTTTGCGTGTGTTCACTACAGGTGGATGAAAAAATTGTTGGCGAAATTTTGTTCGGGCGAAACTCACGATTAGGCTGATTAGTAAAAAGTATAGTTAATTTATAAAAATTGTCATCACATTTTGGCGCATATCACTAAAAAAATTTTTTGACAAATGTCGTATACGAAAAAATTTTATTAAACTCATAAATGGTTGACACTAAACTAAAAAAATAAGATAATTTAAGAATTTCATGAACTAGTACATAGCATTCTCCGACACTTTGGAGAAAATCTGTAGTCGTGTTTCTGAGAAATTGCATTCCAAACTTCAATCGTGAGTTACCGAAAGTAACTTGTGACAATCTTTTATCCAGGGATCTACATAAATTATAATTGTCATTATTTTCGCAGTTGGAGTATATGCCAGACGAGTAACAGGTATACACATACAAGGATACCTAAATTAGCGCGTTGAACTTGTATATTTATCTCTCTCCAACGCATTATAATTCTATATACGTCAGTAACCACGCCCGACAAAGTTATGTCTGTATTTAATAATAGCCCTATGACAAAATATTCATGAAATGTATTCGTAGATTTTTATTTACTTTCATTTCATATATTAGTATTGAGATGAATGATTTTTACTAAATACCAGGAATAAATATTTAATAAAAAACTATTTCATTTAAGCTTAACCAACTTTTAGTGGCTAGGAGCTAATTTTGGAACGCTTCATGAAATATTTTCATAGACAGTAAATGCAACCCTGGGTGCATCATTATCGAGCTGAAAAACCAAAATAAAAAAATTCCATCTGAACCAATATTCCCAAAAATTATAAAGCAAAACAAAAGCCATTTTTCCAATTTATGCACTGTTATTTTTATTATTGCAATACAATTTCGCAGCTCTTCAAACATTTTCCACATTATGCTGTTAGGGCTAGTAGTTTCCGACCCCATTTGCTCGTTTTTTTTCAGTTCTGAATTTAGGCTAGGCTTCATGGGAACTTACTGTGGGTGCAAACAGACCACATTTTGTAAATATGTACATATGTATACACTTGAACGGAATTGTGATATTTAATTTTATTTTATAATGAAAAATGAATTTAATGTGCAATTTTTTAAGTTTACTAGATGTAAGACAACTTTTAATTTTCTTTATATATTGCAGGCTTTAGTTCTAATTCTGTTTATGTTAAGTTGTAAAGGTGAAAATAGGCCTCCTGGGCAACCGAGCACATTAAAAAAAAAAATCGGTAACGCGCGTAAAAGCATACCTCACAAGTGGTGTGGAAAATGCAAGAACAAATATAAATGGAATAATTTTCGAAATTATGAAATGGTTATTGGTATTTCCCATCTCAAAGGAAATGATTAATTTGAACGTTATTTAAGCTGCCTTTATGTAAGCGTTTTGGCTAGTCGATATCTTAAGTAAATTTTCCAGTCGACAGAAATCGACACGTGAAAAGGCCACTTCAGGAATTTTTTAATTTTCTTTTTTTTTTTTTTTTGCTTGGGCGTCTTTTGAAGATGTGCCAAATTATATTGTCGCCTTAAATACAAAACAACAATTTCTTTAAGCCATCTTGTGCAGCAATTTGTTGATCTTATCCTCACGGCTACCGAAATCACCAACCTCAACGTAGTGATTAGCCTTCTTGCGCCAGCCTCGGGTTGATGTGTTGAGCTTGAATAGCAACAGGAAGTTGGGGGCTTTCTTGAAGTGAAGTGAATCAACGCACTGAATTTCGTGCGCTTCGCGAAATTTGCGTTCGATCACAAAGCAGAGATTGGGACACGCTTGACCATTCCACGTTTGTACATCAATTCACGAACTGATTTAAGATTTGGATAACCCCATATAGGGTTCGGCATACGTAGCATATTAATGGTTGCCTTGCTCAATTTGTTGAACACACCGTTTTAATGTGGCGAAGACAGAACTGTAAAACTACGCACTTTTTGTGCAACTTTGTTGATACCGCGGATGCGGATCACAAAAGCCAATTTGGATTTTTCAGGCCCGTCGAATTGGCCGCATTTCTTTGCCACACAGCGCTCCTCCATCTCACGGCGTCCATCACCGAGTTTTCTTGTTTGATATTTCTCAGCATGCACCAAGTTTTCACATTTACGGAGTGCAATCACAGCAGAGCGCTTTAGTTTACGTTTGATCAGGGTAGCAATTTGCTGACCTGCTCTTGCTGAACTGCAGCTTCGGCTCGGGGACAGGAGGCAGCTTCCTGGAAGGTTGTCTGCCCTTTGCTTGAGGTTTCTTACCGGCCGTGATGGCAGTCCTCTTAACTTGTTACTTAGCACGTTGAAAAGGCGAAAAAAAGTTCGCCAAATGTTTGGAGCACATCGTAAATGAGCCACTCGATTTATAACATTTCTATAAACAATTTAATTAAATACTGTTTATACATAGATATGCTGCAACCATGCACTTACTTTCCCAAATTCCATCCTGCTTATCGGCATAATTTTCCAAATATGCCTGCTACTTCATTACTAATTACTCAATTTTCCAACTGCGCCTTCTTTGTTGGCTCGACATATCCTAAAAAGACATAAATTTACATTAAACAATTGAAATCGCAAAAATTAGCAAATAAAATACTCGCTTTGTTTTGTTTTGTTGTCAAATTTCTGAGAAATGTGAATTCACCACGATGCGATACAGAAAGAACAAGGACCAGGGATGTAATTTTAAGTAAATCTATTATTCAGTGGCAAGGCGCAGAGCGTTCGGGGCAGCAATATTAATTTGTATCAAATATAACATTAAACGGTGGTTCTAATACATTTTTTGATATTATTAACCAGAGTACATACATTATATGGTATTTCTTTCAAAAATTAATGTACTATATGAACTTTTTTTTCAAATATTTCTTAAGTTTCTTTCATGAGTGCTGAAAAGCAACCATGCGTGTAAGAAATTGTGTGCTACCTAAAATTTCACCTCTGGAAACTTTATCCCCATAATGGACTTCACCACAGTTTTTTTACTGGATATACTGAGCTCGAACCTGCTGTTGCAATTTTTTATTAACAGACTAGTTAATAAATTAATCTAATTTTTCTGAATAAACAGAGAGTAAAATGACGTTGTATCATTTTGGAAATTGTGTAGCACTGGTATATGTACCTTATTACCTTACCTATAAGTATTCGGGACTGTAAGTAGAGAGCTTATTTATGCCAATTCACTTGCTAATCTGCATGCATACGATTACATACATATGTATGTACATATGTATGAACATCTTAAATTTTCCATATTATTTCAGTTCGGAATATGGAGCATTTTGGAAATGCATTCAGGCAGGAGGCATTTACATTTTCACGCAACTATGCAAAATGCTGGTGTTAGCGACATTCTTTGACTCTGATACGATAAATGGATCTGGCGAGGGTTTCTGTTTCCTGGCGGTGGGTGCATTGATTATGAATGTGTTTACTTGTTTTACAAGAAAACAACTCTTTCTTCTAAATAGGAGTTTCTAAAGGGTACTGTTAATGTCGCAGACCTACTTGGGTTCGCTTTAATACTCTCACGCATACCTGGCAAGGGACATAGTAAATTAATTACAACCGGCTTAGGGTGGGCTGCTGCCGAAGTTATACTTTCACGTGGTATTATGCTTTGGGTAGGTGCACGTGGCACCGAATTCAGCTGGATTTATATACTGAAATGTCTGGAGTCGAATGTTCTGCTGGTGAGAGGAAATATGGTTTTATAGCCCTAAATATTTCAAATACGATTATTTATTATTTACAAAATAGGTGCAGCATATTACTACAGCAACGCTTATGTGGCTTTTCTCTAGACATGATCTTAACAAAACATTGAAGCCTTTAGTGACTATACTATTGGCTTTGACAATCTTCAAAGGCGTTTGGCTAGAAGGTCTCCTGAGTGTGCTAACATTTGGCCCATGGGCCACTATTGCCATAAAGGCACTAATTGCTTCCATAATGGGCTTTATATCACTGCATGTTTATACAGGATTAGCACAACAAATAGGCATTTAAGTTATTTCAAGGTATACAGTTGACATTCGTTGTACTAACACTACGTAGAAGTAACTTAAATCTAAAAACTAAAGTTTTTAGCAGAAAATTTTAATATTAGTTAATAAAAGGTATTTGCTTACCCATGGCAAAAGAGAAAAATTGTTGTTCTTGTTAGGCGATTTCCAGCTTATTTTAAAATATTAACTTTCTATTTTTAGTTTAATTCATATTTCTTCTTTCCTTTATTTGTATTGTGCGCAATAACAAGAAAATAACAATCTTAAATATAGTTAACAGTAGTTCCAATATACCTTTTTCAAAATTCAACAAGATATAAACTACAAAGATAATAACAAAAGTGTAATAACAATAAATACGTTAAGTATTTCTGACGTTTAGTTTGCATGTATACGATAGCCGATGTTAGCACGTCTTAATGGCATTCCATTTGCTTCATTTCTCTGTATTAGTTTACTCGAAGCTGCTCCCAATTTAATGTGCTGTAATTGTATGGAGTTTTCTGCTGACAGCAATACAATAAATCGACTCGCCGCAAGCTCTAAATAAAGGTAATACAATTATTTTATAAGTTCAAGTTCAGTTTTCCTCTTTGATTTGTATACTTAATAGTGCAGCGAACGCTTTTGCAGCTTTCTTTCGTATAAGTATAGCCGGCTGTAAAAGATATTCCACAGGTATTTCGTCTCCTAGTACATTTTTGGAACGCCATAAATTCAACAATTTTACCATTACATCAAAAGCGCCCCATTCATTTTGGTCATCAGACTCAGACTAAATTCCAAAAATTATATACTATAAATTTAATACATCTATACAAAAGCTTACACAAGTATCAACTGGCAGTTCTAAATTATTGTTAATGTTGATAACAGCACTTCCCATACCATTATTGGGCTCTATAATTGCCTGATGAATGTCTTCCGGCACAGGCGTAGGCAACCTCTGGCGTCTATTTATGAATTTATGTTTCTCACCATTATTCCAATTTTTATAAATTTGGGTAGCAAGTTCGTCGGTAACTTCGCATTGTAGAATTTCTCGTATTAAACTACGATAGGCAGCAGAGATTCGAGAATTGTCCAAACTTCGGCGCGTTACATGGTTCTTCATTTTAAAGTTTCTCATTGTAACACAGCTGCGGTAAATATGGCATTATTTGAAAAAGAGTTTGAATGAGCATTAATAGCTTTGAATTACTTGCGGCTGAGTGTGGTTAGTAGTTTATTGGCCGACGGCAGAATCATTTCATACGATTTTTCACTCGGCAAATGTCGCTTCGGAATCCAATTGACCTTAGCTCTGGCTTTTCTTAATTTTGCTCTAAAATTAATTTTAGTTTGTAGCTGTGTACGCATTTCCGTTTCCGTTAGTTCAATGCGTTGGTCGATGATTATTTTTCTAACTTTGTTCGTTGATTTGCTAGAAGCGACGCAGTTCTGTTTGAAAATTTTGTTTAGTATTAATAGTTGCATAAAATGCGAGCAATACATACCTGATGTAACGTTTCATCAGCAATTTCTTTTGCAGTGTCACAGTTTTCAAACGGCTCGTCGATTTCAATGGCCACATCGAAGCTAGTATTATTAGCGGCATCACAACTAAACAACTTTCAGCATTTAAATAAAATAAACTTATCTAAACTATTAACTCACCTCTTCTCCTTAGTTTTTTCAGCGATATTCATTTCCGTGATGGACAGCGCATCAGTTTGCATATAACCCGGGCTAATACAACATTTTTTAATTACATCGCCACGTTCAAATACTTTTTTATTCAGGTTATAAGTCTATGCATCAACTCACCTCTCTTGAGCAAAACTTTCTTGGCTTGGATTGCTTGCCATTGCAGGAATAAAATTATCGACCATGTCATTTCCTCTTGCATCAGCACTACGTGGAATTTCAATTTTAGAGTACTCAAGACCGCTGCGAGATACATCGTGCGCTGAATCTTAAATTAAAAATAATTATTTATGGCCAAAGTTTTGTGCAACTTAATTTTTACCTTCGGCACACTTTGCTCTTTTCTCACGAATCGTCGACATTTCCAAAGCCTTTTGAACAAAAAGAAAAATAACTAAAATATACTACCCTGCGATTTCCATAATTTCATGCACTCACCTTTCTTTTTTGTGCCTTAGCTTCCTTCACTGTTGCGGCGGATGTATCTGCGTTAATGTTTTTAAATATTTTGTGTTTTGAACTTTTTAACTTAAAAAAAGTAATCCATACCTGAGAGCAATTGTACAAGTGTAGTCATTTCCTCGGCTGTCGCATTCCCAAATCCTTCGTCCTCATCCATTGAATAGCGCTCGTTTGGCATATCAACTTCATTAATGGTTATCTCGCGTATATGAATACAAGTTGTCCTGCTATGTCCATTTGCTTTTGTCATCTATATCATAAGTGAATCAGATAAGTGAAGCTCAAATGTTTTTTAAATAAAAATTCTAACCGTTTTATTCACATATTCGTCTATTTTTCCCCATTCCACAAAATTTTCCGTTTCGTCCAACAGTTGTGAGTAATTTGTTGTCGATATGTCCTGCATAGAATATTCTATTGTGCGACGCTTTTTCCTTTTCGAACGATATGAGGCTGAACAAGTAGACGGGTGGCTAGGTTTAAAGATTGATCCTTATTTCTGAAATTGCATTAACCTTTCATCACACATGTATGTAAATACCTTCGCTTTCTTGTCTGTATTGTGGTCCAATCTCGGCTTTGGGCCACCAGCGCTTCTGATCTATCTATTGTAGGGAGAATATCGAATATGAGGAAAACTTCTTATAATTAAAATCACAGCTTACTCAACAAATCGTTTACTTGCAATTCGTGCACACGTAACGTAGTGTAGCAAAGACCTGATATGGAACGAAAGGATAGCGCCTCCAATTGATGCTTATGTGTAAGATCCAGCGTGCGTTGGAGGCCATTACGCGACTGTGTAATGGCTAAACGCAACCTTTCACTGAACATGTTTAGGTGAAAGGACGCCTTTAAAAACAGTTGTGTACTCCGTTATGCTTCAACTTACCATGTTTTTGCAACATTTATCGACTCCAATTCATTGATCTTTGGTAAAGTGCCTTTTCTACTAGTTAACCATGATTCCTGAAAATCAGTGAGCATTTTAAACACAAAATTCTATAGATTTTTTCAGCAAATACAAAATGATAGCGGAGATTAGCTATTGTACTTGTTGAAATATGGCGGCCGTTAGTAAACGGCATTTCCGGTCTTAACGGCACTTGGCTTTGTTTCGCATACAGAATATGCAGAAATTCTCTTTTTAATTGACATCATAAAAATCAATATTTCATCAATATAATTGATAATAATTTCAAAATCTAGATTTTGAAGAAGATAGCAGCTATTTGTTGTCATAACTAAGCGGAAATGCACGAATTATTAAATATTACCAGACTGACTTCCTTTTATAGCACTTTGCTCCTTCATGCAACCCTGTTCTGTTATCCATTCCACTTTGACCTAACATTAGGGATGTCATCGATGTATTTCTTTGATTCGATGCATCGATATTGTTCGATACATCGATTTGCATAGGATTTTACTGATATTATTGCACATCAATTTAAATTTTTTGGTCAACAATTGAAAAACTTAAATGGCGGTTCAATGTTTTTTCAAAAAAACATCGATGCATCGACTATTTATACATTGAGTGGAAAATTTTCGTTGCATCGACGCAAAACATCGATATTTTCGATGCATCGATGTTGGTCCGATATCGCCACCTCACATCAAACCTCACATTCTAGTAAAACAAATTTAGTTTGTATTCTTTTGTATTTGCGTGTTGTTGCTTTGCTATCGTTGGTTGCTATCATAAAGTGTTTTAAGTTCCGTATACACATTCCTCACTAGAAGTTCTCAGGAAATTTTTACACGATTCTGTCACCAAAGTCATATTAAAACATTTATTTATAATGGTAAGTACGAAAAAAATTAAATTAAGCATTATACTACGAAATAAAAGTTGTTATGACTAATACAAATCACGCGTCGTTGTCTGGAGCAACAGAAGTAGAGGTGGTCGTGGCGACGACGACGTCTGCGGAAGGGTGTGGAACATAACTGAGCAATTAGTGATTCAACTGTAATTGATAATAATATTGTTATTGTATGTACATATGTAATTGGAGGTGTTGTTATGAGACCTTGAAAATATGTGCTTTTTGGATTGATTAGCAATGTTCTTTCATCTTCCCCAGGGCGATAGCAAAATTTGTGACATTAGCGACGATGTACGTGACGCATTGAAGAAGTTTCGCTTCCGTAAAAGTACTGCCAACTCTGCACTCATATGTAAGTAACTCGTTTTTAGCATACCGTGTATATGTATGTACGTATGTATAAACATAATTAAAATTTTTTTTGGACCTGCCAAATTGGCGGTAAACTTAGCTATGCAAATTACTCTATATGTAGTAGGTGTGCTCAACGCTTTCTCTTCTGATCTTTTTGTTTTGGTTTATTTAAGTACCAAAAAAAATTTAATGGATATAGGTTTTGTGCGGATGCATATGTACATATGTCTGTACATAGCTACCTGCATAGTTAATCTTAAATAATATTTTTAATTTAAATATTAATTAATACATACATTCATGTGTACCTGTGTTAATGATAAATCATAGCATGTACGTTACTAATTTGTGTATTTTATTTAGTAAAAGTCGATCGCGAAAAGCAACTTGTAGTTTTAGATGAACTCTTGGAGGACATCTCCGTCGATGAGTTGCAAGAAACACTGCCAGGACATCAGCCTCGATATATCATTTATACATACAAAATGATACATGATGACCAAAGAATTTCATACCCTATGTGTTTCATATTTTACACGCCGCGCGATAGTCAGGTATGGACAGTAAAATTTAATTAAATTAAACAAAATTCACTTATCTACATATATATTTACCCATGTTCTCTTCAACAGATTGAACTACAAATGATGTATGCTTGCACCAAAAGTGCCCTCCAGCGCGAGGTCGATTTGACACGCGTCTACGAAATACGAGAATTAGATGAACTGACCGAGGAGTGGCTCAGGGAAAAACTTAAGTAGAAAATCAAGAGTTTTAACTACAAATATCCAGATAAGCAATATTGTGTATAAGTTCGTTGGGTACATATGTAGCGTCAATAGAACTAAGGTTTTACCAACGATTTTACACCAAATACATGTGTCTAAAAATATAAATGCAAAATATGCATAAATCAAGTATAAATAATGAATAGCAGGGAAAGTACCCCAAAGTAAAATATTTTATTTTTTTTTATGAAAAGACAAAATCAAAATGGTCAAATATGTATTTAAAAATTCTTCATGACATGAATTACATATACATACATATATTCATTCCCACATTTTAATATTGTAATTAAAGTAGATAATAGCTTGAGTAGCATTTGCGTAGTGTTTGTAGTGGATTATTAATATGTAAAAAAAATGACAGGAGTTTACTTTTAATACAACATGAGAAGCTGTGCTTGCCAAATTTAATTTTATTTATATTGTAATGCTACATTTTTAATTCTTTTCGTTTTTTTTCTAGTTTATTAGAGTTTACAAGTACAAATATTTTGTGCGTGAATTTTTAGAGGATAACCTTCCACTTTTGTATACACTTTTATCAGCATTTACGTAAAAATAAATACATATGCCAAGAAATAAATTATTACTACAATACAATTGTCTAATTAAATTTAAGACTGCCTCATATTCCTTCAGAATGGATGCAATCGCTGTGCCGCATGCATCATACTTAATGCCGCACTACTTTGCGCCGATGGCGTGGGCGGTGGTGGCGGCGGTTGCTGTGCTGCTGCTAGCATATGCGCCATCGTCGGATGATGTGTCATATGCGTCGGATGGTTGGCTTGTAGTGGCGCATTCAAGGACAAATGATGCGTGTGTGCATGCAAGCCATCGTGGGCGAGTGCAGCATGCGTTTGCGGTGGAGGGG